AATACATTCTCCCTGAGTACCTTGCAATTTTGTCATCATTTCTAGTGTGATTTTGTTTTTTCCCCCCATTTTCTTAATTTAATGAGCTCTAACTTCACTTCTTATTTTGTCTCCATTTTGTCATTCATTTCTGAATTTTATTTCTTTAATGTCAAATGCTTAGCAGAGGCTACTGAATTCAGACTGAAGTGTGATCATCTGCTACGTGATTGACTTTTACAGTGAAGGAAGTTTCATCAACTGAAATGTTGCTTCTTATTGTTTGCTTATTATTGCAACTTTATATAGATGAAAATGATTTGTATTTCTGCATTTAGTGGACAGGGTTGGTAGTTTGGGATGGTGGACAAAATTCCTAGTTCAAGAGCACCCTCTTCTGTCAGTATAACAGGGAAAGGCACAGTGTGGCCTTCAGTTTTTTAGTTTCTGTCTTGCAGGTACATAACTTTACCCTTCTTGCTTCATTTTTCCCTTCACAATTTCCAAAGGTGCCTCTCCCTTTCCCTTTTACTCTTTTCTTCCCCAGAAGCAATGCCTTCCCGATTGCCTTACTGTGTGTACTTTAAGCCCTTTCCCTAAGTCACTGCTCTAATAGAACTCTTTTCCAGCATTTTCAATCTTAGAGTGAACCTTCTTTTCTTTCTTCTGTGAAAATCTCAAGACTGCCTCAATGCTCCAGAGATTTTCAGTGGAAGTCCAAGAAATAGTCCTATTAGAAAAAGGGAGAGGCCCCGGGCACGGTGGCTCACACCTATAATCCTAGCACTTTGGGAGGCCGAGGCAGGAGCCTCGCTTGAGCTCAGGAGTTCGAGACCAGCTCTGAGCAAGGGCGAGACCCCATCTCTACTAAAAACAGAAAAAATTAGCAAGTCAACTAAAAATAGAAATAAAAAATTATCTGGGCATGGTGGCGCATGCCTGTAGTCCCAGCTACTCGGGAGGCTGAGGCAGGAGGATCGCTTGAGCACAGGAGTTTGAGGTTGCTGTGAGCTAGGCTGATGCCACGGCACTCTAGCCCGGGCAACAGAGCGAGACCCTGTCTCCCAAAAAAAAAAACAAAAAAAACAAAAAACGGCTGATGCCAACCTGAGATGGGAAAGGAACTACTCTTGTTGGTATGGTATTAAGAGCTCTTTTTCTAAACCATATTTCATCAAATCTAAGACTTTACTGATAAGACACACCTCTATCTCATGGACACCAAGAAGAAACGGTGATAATTAAATGATGACCCAATGTCTTAACCACAGTACAATGTGGTACATAAATCATTCACACCAACCTCTTGTTGCTTCAAAATCTCTCAAAGAGGCAATTTCTCCTGTCTTCAGTTACACTGCTTGCCATAGGGTAGGCAATCCTTTCACAGTTTAGTGTTTTTTTCCAAATATGGAATTATAATCATTACCCCAACAGCAACATGTCTTCACTAATATCAAAATCATGCCCTACTCCCATGCCCAATTCCATGCCTTTCTGTATAAATAAGAACTTTTTGTTTCAATGCCAAAGAACAGAATCATCTTTCTATATTTTAAACTCAGCACATGGCATGTAATCTTAAAGAAGGAGGTTCTTAAATAACTATGACCAAATTCATGATCATATGGTTCACGACCATCACATTAAGACTGTACCTTGCCAGTGGTGACTGGTAAAATGCTATCTACTCTAAGATACACCCCAGCTTTGGAGTTAAAAAAGGTCACAAAAAGAGACTACTTTGTTAAAGGTTTAACTGCAGATATATAAACCATACCTACTTATAACCACCATTCCAACAATTAGCTTTAAAATTACTCTAAAGAATATCAAAGCAATAATGGCCTGTTATTTTTTCCAATAAATTTGATACTAAATCCACCTTCATCACTGCATCTGTAGGTGATATAGTATACTGTATTGTAGTACAATAGACTGTACTACAGTCTTCCTAAATAGGTTCTGCCAATTAAGTGATATTTTTAAAACTGTCACCACCCTCTTCTCAATGTTTGAGAACAGTGAAGTCATCTTGAAGGCCTCTCACCTGACATGGTAGTATGGGTCTTGGCACCACCAAGCTCCTCCTGGGTAACATCCTCATTGGTGACAGACTTCACAACATCAGGGCCAGTGATAAACAGGTAGGAGGTGTCCTGAAATCAGAGATTTCCAGAACAGTTAATCTCAGAGCACCAGAGCTCGTCAGAGCCTTAGAGCTCACTCAGCCAGAAAGACAAATGCTGAGAAAATAGTATCATGATAGCAGAACCAGGCTGAGATGCTGCTCAAAGATACCTACCTAGACAGAAGACTCAAGTTTCCCCTGCCTCATTGTCTATTTTCTAAAAATCTTTGTTCCATGATTTTATCTCAGCAGATTAACCCGCAGTGTGGCTAACATCCAGGGTCACTCACCTGTAGAACACAGTAACAGGTGGCCCTGACTCAGCTTGCTGTGCACCAAGCACTTTTCTAAGCACTTCACAGGACTGTGCCATTAAAGCCTAAGTACTGGCCAGGCATGGTGGCTCACACCTGCAATCCTAACACTTTGGGAGGCTGAGGTGAGAGAAGCGCTTGAGGCCAGGAATTTGAGACCAGCCTGGGCAACAGAGCAAGACCTCGTCTCTAAAAAAACAAAGTCTTGCTTTGTTGCCCCAGCTAGCGTGCAGTGGTATCATCCTAGCTCACAGCAACCTCAAACTCCTGGACTCAAGCAATCCTCCTGCCTCAGACTCCTGAGTAGCTGAGACTATAGGTGTACACCACCACACCCGGCTAATTTTTTCTGTTTTTTGGTAGAGATGGCGTCTTACATGCTCAGGCTGATCTCGAACTCCTGACCTCAAGCAACCCTCCCGCCTCAGCCTCCTAGAGTGCTAGTATTACAGGCATGAGCCACCGCACCCAGTCTCTGTAGAGACTGGGTGTGGTGGCACACATCTATAGTCCTAGCTACTCAGGTGGCTGAGGCAGGAGGATCCTTTGAGCCTAGGAGTTCAAGGCTGCAATGAGCTATGATCGTACCACTGCACTCCAGCCTGAGTGACAGAGTAAGAGACCCTGTCTCTAAAAATAAAATTAAAAAAAAAAAAAGCCTAAGTACTACTATCACGCCCATTTATGTATGAGGAAACCGAGGCACGGAGATGGTATGCAACCAGCCACTGTTAACTGAAGCTACTTAAAGATACAGATAATCAATACTTTGGTGTTATGAGAGGGTGATGGGCTTTCTAATTTATAGATAACACAGGCAAACTGTACAAAATTTGAAAGAAGAACAGGAGATATAGTGGAAAGTAGTCTACAGCCCAGCCCTTATTTCCAGGCCTCCAATTCCCCTCCCCAAAGGCAATATATGCATACACGAGCATTAATATATATATTTACCCTCTTCTTTTTTTTTTTTATTTCAGCATGTTATGGGGGTACAGATGATTAGGTTACGTATGATGCCCTTACCCTCCCTCCCCCCCAAGTCCGAGCTTCAAGTGTGTCCATTCCCCCGGAGGTGCGCATCGCACTCATTGTTTGTGCATATGCCTGTCCCCTCCTCCCCCCACCCTCTTATTTTCTAACACAAACACTTCCTAACACACTGTCTTTCCAAAAGAAACATTTTCTAACATAAACAGTGTTCTACACACAGTTCTCAAATTTAACATAATACTATAGCTTGAAGATCATTCCGTATCAGCATAGAATATGTATCACAATTTAACTGTCACCTACTGATGGTCATTTAGGTTGTTTCCAGTATTTTAATATAATAAGCAATTTTGCAATAAATACCATAGTCATCTCTGTGAACTCACTATAAATGTTCTTTGCCCATTTCTAACAGATGGTTGGCTTTTTTTATATGCTAAGAAAATTAATCCTTAGACTATCATATGCATTGTATCAGTCTTTTATCTTATGATTCTTTGGTTTGGGATCTTGCTAAAAAGGCATTCACCACTCCACACGAAGACTTCTAAACGAATGTGCACGGCAGCTTTATTTGTAACAGTTAAAACACTAGAAACAGAACTTCTGGCTTCCAGTCCAGCATATAAGAATGTGGAAGTTGACACTCCTTCCTAACAAATAAAAAGATGAACAAATTGAAAAAAAAAAATTAACAGCTTTTCTTAGCTCCGTCAGAGAGCCATGTGGGGGTCACAGGACAAACCACTCCAAAATTGGAGACTGATGGGCAAATGCAGAGATTTGAGGCTTACAGAGCAGAAACCCACAAACGCCCCAACCTCCCCGGGAACCAGGGCTGACATAGAGAAAGTAACTGTAACTGAAAAACTGCTGGAGTCTCAGTGCGGACAAACATGAGAGACGAAAACTCCAGCAGCGGCCAGTCACTGAGGCCCCCGTGCATTGACGAGTTTTACCTCTAGGAGCTCAACCAGGTTCTCACAGTGATTATCAGAGAAAAGTCCCCTCAAGCTTCCAGCATGGGGAGCGGAAAAGAGACCATTTGGAAACGTACGAGAGCTCTCCCACTCTTCTTAACAAGGTCTGCCCTCAGGAGAAACTATTTAAGCAGAATCCAATCTGCTAGAGTTTTATCAGAGTCTACTCACCTGGGGGAATAAAAATAACAAATTCCAGCCAGCTCTAGCATTCCGCATGGGAAAAAGGAAATAGCCTGCCCCAGCCAAGTCTGGCCATCCTGTCCCACCAAAGAGGGGGCGAAGGACTGAGAAACACACGTGAAGTTCACAGTCCAGAGACACAGGCTCACTAAAAACCTGAGACCTACTCATAGGACTAGAGAACACTTCCTTTGCCTCTTCCCCACTCCTTACCACCACATTACTAACAGCGTATTTACAATAGTTCCTTTTACCCAGTATATCATGTACAGCTATCGAGAAAAAATTTTAAGACTTACTAAAAGGCAGAAAACAAAGTATGAGGAGACAGAATGAACATCAGAACCAGAATCAGATATAGCAGAGAATACAGTTGGAATTATCAGACCAGGCATTTAAAATAACTATGATTAAGATGGTCGCCAGGCACAGCGGTGCATTCCTGTAGTCCCAGCTGCTTGGGAGGCTGAGGCAGGAGGATCACTTGAGCCCAGGAGTTTAAGACCAGCCTGGGCAACATAGTGAGACCTCATCTCAAAAAATCAAACAAACAAAAAAAATGCCAAGGGGTCTAATGGATAAAATAGACAGCAAACAAGAACAGATGGGTGATGTAATTAGAGAGATGGAAATTCTTAAAAAGAGCCAAAAAGAAATATCAGGAATCAAGAACACTAACAGAAATGAAGAATGTCTTTCATGCACTTATTGATGCAAAAGTCTTTGCACTTTCAAAGACTGGGCGTGGCTGAGGAAAGAATCTCTGAGCTTGAGGCTATCTCAATAGAAACCACCCCAACTGAAAACCCAGAACACTGTGGAACTCCTACAAAAAATGTAACATACACATAATGGGAATTCCAGAAGGAAAAGAGAGAGAAAGGAACAGAATATTGGAAACAATAATGACTGAGAATTTCCCCAAACTGTCAGACACCAAACCACAGATCCAGGAAGCTCAGAGAGCACTGAGCAAGATGAATGCTAAAAAAAACTACACCTAGGCACGTTGTTTTCAAAACACAGAAAATCAAAGATAATGAGAAAATCCTAAAAGCAGCCAGAAGGAAAAAAACATTTTACCTATAGAAGACCAAAGATAAGAATTACATCCAACTTCTCAGAAACCATTCAAGTAGGAATAAAGTGTTTTAAATGTTGAGGGAAAAAAACCTACAAAGCTAGAATTCTGTACCCTATAAAATTGTCTTTCAAAAGTGAAGGAGAAAAAAAGACTTTCTCAAACAGACAAAAATTGAGGGAATCTGTTGCCAGTAGACCTGCCTTGCAGAAATGTTAAGAGAAATTTTTTAGAGAAAAAGGTAAATGATAAAGGTCAGAAACTTGGATCTACATAAACAAAGGAAGAGCATCAGAGAAAGAATAAATGAAGGCAAAATAAAAACTTTTTTCTTACTCGTAATTGAGCTAACACCTGTAGTCCCAGCTACTCGGGAGGACTGAGGTGAGAGAATCACTTGAGCCCAGGAGGTTGAGGTTACAGTGAATTGTGATTGTGCCACTGTACTCCAGCCTGGGTGATAAACACCCTGTCAATCAATCAGTGAAAAATAAAAAATAATTTCAGACAGAGAAGACTTTAAACCAAGCAAAGTTATCAGGGATAAAGAGCAACACTGCATAATGATAAAGGCGTCAATTATCAAGGAGATGTGTACACATTAAAGATTATATGTCTAACAACAGAGCGTCAAAATAACATGAGGCAAATACTGATAGAACTGCAAGGAGAAATAGATGAATCCACTATTACAGCTGGAGACCTCAACACCCCTCTATCAAAAATGGACAGATCTAGCAGGTAGAAAAATCGGTAGAGACACAGGTAAATTCAACACCACCAATCAACTGGATATGATGAACATCTACAGACCACTTCATCCAACAATAGAATACACATTCTTTTCAAGCTCCCATGGAACATTCACCAAGATAGACCACATTCTGAGTGATAAAAGACACTTTAAGAGAATAGAAATCTGAGACCACAATGAAATTAAACTAGAAATCGTAACAGTTGGAAAATCCTAAAATACTTGAAAATTAAAAACCACACTTCTAAATAACAACACATGAATCAAAGAAGAAATCTCTAGAAAATTTTAAAAAACACTTTAAACTAAATGAAAATGAAAGCACAACTTACCAAAATTTGTGGCATGCAGTAAAAGCAGTGCTTAGCAGGAATTTATACCATTAAATGCATATATTAGAAAAGGCAGATCTAAAAATTAATCACCAAAGCTTCTACCTTAGGAAACTAGAAAAAAAGAACAAATTAAATCCAAACTAATCATATAAAATACATTTAGAGCAGAAATCAATGCAATTGAAAATAGAAAATTTTGAAAACCTAAAAACAGAACTATTGTACAATCCAGCAATCCCACTATTGCATATTTATCAAAAGAAAAAGAAACCAAAGGGATATATATATCAAAGGGATACCTGCACCCACATGTTTATTGCAGCACTATTCACAATAGCAAAGATATGGAAGCACACTAAGTGCTCATCAACGGATAAATAAAGAAAAT